ATCAATATTAACTCTAAATGTAAATGGACTAAACTCTTCAATAAAAAGACACAGAGTTGCAGCCTGGATTAAGAAACAAAACCCAACCTTTTGCTGTCTCCAGGAAACACATTTAGCTACAAAAGATAAAAATAGGCTCAAAGTTAAAGGATGGAAAACAATCCTACAAGCAAATGGACCAAAAAAGAAAGCAGGAACAGCTATACTGATATCAGATAAAACAGACTTCAAACTCAAAAAAATAAAAAGAGACCCCAATGGTCACTACATTATGATCAAGGGGACAATACTTCAAGAAGAAATAACACTCATTCACATATACTCACCAAACGAAGGAGCACCAAAATATATCAGACAACTGTTGTCCTCTCTGAAAACAGACATCAGAGAAAACACATACGTAGTGGGAGACTTCAACACACCACTATCAACAATGGATATATCAACAAGACAAAAAATAAGTAAAGAAACTAAAGCTCTAAATAAGGACCTAGAGCATTTGGGCTTAACAGACATCTATAGAACACTAAACCCAAAAAAAACGGAGTACACATTTTTCTCAAGCGCACATGGATCATTCTCCAGGATCAATCACATACTGGGGCACAAGACAAACATCAACAGATACACCAAGATTGAAATCATACCAACCATCTTTTCTGACCATGAAGGCATCAAACAAGAAATAAACCATAAAAAGAAGGCAAGGAACTATCCTACCTCATGGAGATTAAACACCACACTACTGGAAGACCACTGGACTAACGAGGAGATCAAAGAAGAAATTAAAAAATTCTTTGAATTGAATGACAAGGAGGACACCAATATCCTAAATGTATGGGATGCAGCAAAAGCAGTAATAAGAGGAAAATATATAGCAATAGAAGCTCACATCAAAAAACAAGAAAGAACTCAAAGAAACAACCTAATCTCGAAGCTCAGAGATCTAGAAAAAGAACAAAAAAAACCCAAAACCAATAGAAGAAAAGAAATAATAAAAACCAAAGCAGAAATAAATGAAATTGAAACTAAAAAAACAATCCAAAAGATCAATGAAACCAAGAGCTGGTTCTTTGAAAAAATCAATAAAATAGACAAACCCCTAGCCAGGCTCACAAAGGAAAAAAGGGAGAAAGCACAAATAAATAGGATCATAAATGAAAGAGGAGAAATCACAATGGACACAGCAGAAATCAAAAGAATAATCAGTAACTACTATGAACAGTTATATGGAAACAAGTTTAACAATCTAGAGGAGATGGACAAATTCCTACAACTCTACAATCACCCAAAGCTAGATAAAGAAGAAATAAAACACCTAAACAGACCAATTACAATTAGCGAAATTGAAATGGTAATCAAAAACCTCCCCAAAAACAAAAGCCCAGGACCTGATGGATTTACAAATGAATTCTACCAAAGATTCAGAGACGAATTAGTGCCTATCCATCACAAACTCTTCCAAAAAATTGAGAAGGAAGGGACAATACCAAACACGTTCTATGAAGCCAACATTACACTAATACCAAAACCGAACAAGGACAACACAAAAAAGGAAAACTACAGGCCAATCTCCCTAATGAACGCTGATGCAAAAATCCTCAACAAAATTTTAGCTATCAGAATCCAACAATGTATCCATAAGATAATTCACCACGACCAAGTAGGATTCATGCCAGGGACACAAGGATGGTTTAACATCCGAAAATCAATCAACGTTATCCAACACATCAACAAAAAGAAATATAAAAACCATATGATAATATCAATAGATGCTGAGAAAGCTTTCGACAAAGTGCAACACCCATTCATGATAAAAGCCCTTGAAATTCTTGGGATACAAGGAACATACCTCAACATCATAAAGGCCATCTATGACAAGCCAACAGCCAGTATCATTCTCAGTGGTGAAAAGCTGAAAGCAATTCCATTAAGATCTGGAACAAGACAAGGATGTCCACTCTCACCACTGCTTTTCAATATAATACTGGAAGTCCTAGCCAGAGCAATAAGACAAGAGAAAGACATCCAAGGAATCCAAATAGGAAAAGAAGAAGTCAAACTATCACTATTTGCAGATGATATGATAATATACATAGAGAACCCTAAAAACTCCACAGAAAAACTAATTCAACTCATCAATCAATTCAGTAAAGTGGCAGGATACAAAATCAACACGCAAAAGTCAGTAGACTTCCTATACACAAACAATAAATCTGAAGAAGAAGAAATAAAAAAAAAAATCCCTTTTAGTATCGAACCAAAAATAATCAAATATTTGGGAATAAATCTAACAAAAGAGGTAAAGGACCTATACAAAGAAAACTATAAAACACTGTTAAAAGAAATAGAAGAAGACACAAAGAAATGGAAAGACATCCCCTGCTCATGGATTGGAAGAATAAACATTATTAAAATGGCCATCCTACCAAAAGCAATATACAGATTCAATGCTATTTCAATCAAAATTTCAATGTCATTCTTCAAAGAAATAGAACAATTATTGATGAAATTCATATGGAATCACAAAAAACCCGAATAGCCAAAGCTCTACTGAAAAAAAAAGAAGGAAATGGAGGCATCACATGCCCAGACTTCAAACTATACTACAAAGCCATAATCATCAAAACTGCATGGTATTGGAACAAGAACAGACATACAGACCAATGGAATTGAATAGAAAATCCAGAAATAAACCCACAGATTTATGGTCAACTAATCTTTGACAAAGGAGCAAAGACTATGCAATGGCGCAAAGAAAGTTTGTTCAATAAATGGTGCTGGGAAAACTGGGTTGCTACATGCAAAAGAATGAAGCTTGACCACTACCTCACAGCATACACAAAAATCTACTCAAAATGGATTAAAGAACTAGACATAAGACCTGAAACCATAAAATACATAGAAGGAAATATAGGCAAAACACTATGTGATTTGCATATCAAAGACATCTTTACAGACACATCACCCAAAGCAGTGATAGTGAAGGCAAAGATAAAAAGCTGGGACTACATCAAATTAAAGAGCTTCTGCACAGCAAAAGAGACAATAACAAAAACAAAGAGAAACCCCACCAACTGGGAGAACATTTTTGCACACAACGCTAATGATAAAGGACTGATCACAAAAATCTGCAAAGAGCTGATGAGACTCAGCAACAACAAAGAAAATAATCCAGTGTAAAAATGGGCAGAAGAGCTAAAAAGAAACTTCTCTGAAGAGGAAATGCAAATGGCCAACAGACATATGAAAAAATGTTCAACATCACTTGTAATCAGGGAAATGCAAATCAAAACTACCATGAGATACCATCTTACACCAGTGAGAATGGCACATATTAAAAAAAAACTAGCAACAGCAAATGTTGGCGAGGTTGTGGAGAAAAAGGAACTCTTCTACACTGTTGGTGGGAGTGCAAACTGGTCCAACCACTATGGAGAGCTGTGTGGAGATTTCTGGACCTACTAAAGATAGAGCTTCCATATGATTCAGCAATTCCACTCCTAGGTATTTACCCAAAGGACATAGAAACATCAATTCCAAAGAACACCTGCACCCCTATGTTTATTGCAGCACTATTTACAATAGCTAAGCTTTGGAAACAGCCCAAATGCCCAAAAATAGATGACTGGATCAAGAAGATGTGGTACATATATACCATGGAATATTACTCAGCATTCAAAAAAGATAAACACATGCAATTTGCAGCAACATGGATGGCGCTGGAAGGGATCATGCTCAGCAAAATAAGCCAAAAAGAAAAAGAAAAATACCGGATGGTCTCACTCATAGCAGGAATCTAGAAAACTTAAATAAGGGACCAGGAAAATGAATAACTATAAGAAAGTGAAAATCAAAATCAACAAAAAACTATGACCCAGAGACACTTTTTGGGGGGTGGGGGGTGGGAGGGGAGGGATTGGGGTCAGAATGGGGGGTTTGCAATTGTATGGGGGAATATAAAAATAAAATTTATTATTTAAAAAAAAATAAGCATGAATCAATGGCTACTTGGATTAAGCAAGTGTTCATCCTGTACTGTTACAGGCAAGAAAGAGGATGTTGTTTTCTACACGAATGAATATAGAGCAACCCACTCTGTGAAATCTCTGAATCACACTGAGAACAAAAGTCATAAGTAAACTGCTTGAAACAGAAAGCAAAGCTATTAAACTAGAACTAGGACAATCATTGGGAAAACCAAATTATGAATCAAAAACTGAAAAGTACAGCATGTCTGATACAGATTTTGTGAGCAAACTAGTGATGAAGAAACTCCTCTGATATTAAACTGAACAATAAAAATCAGGGAATTCTCAGCTCTAAGGGACTCTCTGGCATATTCTCGCCTGTCAATCAAGGGAAAACTCATCAGGTTTGCTCTTCTTAAAGCCGCCTACCTTTACCACTTTATTAAATATGACTATTCAGTGGTCATAAAGTTATAGCGCTATCAGATGGGGAACTGGCATGGGCATTCTGGTGGAGGGTGAGTGGAACATGTACACATGTGGAAGAAGAAAAATGTAATTAAATTATAATTTTTTAATTATAAAAAAAAAAAGACTGCATTAGAATACATGCATAAGGGCCTCCCTGGTGCCCTAGGGGTTAAGGCTTAATGCCGTCAGCACTGTAGCATGAGTTAGGTTCCCGGCCAGGGAGTTGACCCACATGTCACAGCAGACCGCTCCTGCCTGCCCGTTGCTCCACTCAGCAGTGGATTTCAATTAATCCACTTGTTCTGCTCCCCACTCTGTCTCTAGGGAATCCTCTCACCTCCAGTTCCTCTGGCCTGTACCCCAGTTCTTCTATGCTAAAATAAATAAAATCTTGTAAAAAAAAAAAAAAGATTCAGAGGTCCGCATAGTGAGCTAAAACGAAGGTTAAGGAGAGCAGTTTTGGAGGGAGCAGCAGAGACTGCAGGGAAACCACAAACCTATTCCTGAAAAAGAGGCCTGCGCCCTGGGCTGAGCCATGACCCACCTTCTTCCACTCACCTGAACCCAGCCAGTGGGGTTGGTGGGCGTCGAGGCCCATGGCAATGGCAGGAACTCCACACAAGCTCTGCAACTCCATGTGCCCCAGAGCGGTGCAGGCCCAACCTAGGAGAGAGATGCGAGGCTCCCTGGAAACCAGGCCCCGGGCCAGAGGCCCGCATGGACAGCTGACAATGTGAACAGCAGGTACACCGTCATCAACCAGCACAGGAACCCCCAGACCACCCTGCCTCCTGCGGTAGGGGCTGAGCTCTGAGCCTAGACTGCAATTGGATTAGAGCAAAATGACGATGGGTTTGTTTCTATGCAACTAAGTGAACGGACTGACCGTCTAACTCACTTCAGAAGCAGCAACGCAGAATCTGACTTTTGAGGAAGGAGCTGGAAAAGCACAGGTGGGAAATGGCCCCACCCCCACCCCAATGCGCGTGCTCACACATCAGCAGCGGCGTTTCCTCTACACCATATTGATTCCAGCTCCTCATTTAAACAAACCCACGTAATAGAGATTTTATTGCCTGCCTTCCCGAGCCCGGTGCCGTCTTTCAGCATCCTTGGATTGCTGTGCCCTGTAAATTATGGAGGTTTATTCCGATATTCCTAACAGCCTCCACAGCTAGTCTTTCATATCCATTTTTTTTTCATAGTCATAAGAAAACAACTCTAGATGTGTCGAACACAGCAGCCAAGGTGGACCCAAGGGGTGTAATTAGCACTTACCGTGTTAGAAAGAAAAGGCGGTAACGCTTTCCTTGAAGAAACGCGGTCAGGTACAGGGCGGAAAATTGCTTCAACATTGTCTTTCTTCCTGAGTACTCCAAAGTGATGTTTACTGTGGTTCTGTAATTACGGATAAAACAGGGGTTACTTAGCATGTGCCAGGCATCCAGACTAAGGGAGTGAGATGGGCTGTGGGTGGAGGCCGCCATCTACAGGGCCCAGCACCTCTGAGGCTTCCAGACTTCCAGGGTCATGGTGAGGGCTGATACTATTAACAGCCCTTAACTCTTCTTTTTTTTTTTAAGATTATTTATTTATTTATGCTGCCAAGAACTGGGGTGCAGGCCAGAGGTGCCTGGGAGAGAGCAGAACTGGCGAATCTGCTGAAATGCACTGCTGAGGGGGAAGCAGCCTGAGACAGGAGAGGTCTGCTGCGCCATGTGGGTAGCTCCCCAGCCAGGGATGGAACTTAGGCCACAATAGCTGGCGATAGTTTGATAATGCTGAGACTTTAACCCCTGTGCCACCAGGGAGGCCCACCGTAATGCTTTTATATAAATAAATGTGGATGTGTGTGCAAAGGTGTAGACTTCTGGGCTGTTCCATTTCACCCACTTGAGCAGGAATGCTTGAATAACTGGCTTTTTGCCTTTATAATGAAGGATTCCAAACTCTGTTATTTTGTTTTATTTTGTTTCTCATCTTCAAATATGTTTTTCAAAGCCCCATGACTTATAATTTTGCCTGATTTTTTGGCCCTTTCCATCCTTTGTACCCTATCTTGGATTTAAGCAATCATAGCCAAACATTATGCTGTGTTAAAGCTTAACTTTCTAGGGCCTCCCTGATGGTGTAGGGTTTAAGTCTCACATCTTCGGCCTAAGTTCAATCCCTAACCAGGTAGCTGACCCCACATGGCGCAGCAGACCTCTCCTGTCTCACCCACTGCTCCCCTCAGCAGTGGATTTCAGTGGATCTGCCTGTTCTGCTCCCCACTCTGTCTCTGGTGAATCTTCTTACCCCCCATACGTCTGGCCTGTACCTTAACTCTTGTATGTATAAATAAAAGTAAATCTTTAAAAATAAATAAAACTTAACTTTCTGTTAAGTGAAAGAACAGTTCTGTTGACCAAACATTTAAAAAATGCCACCAAAAGAATATGTCTTGGGTCATCTTGAATTCAAAATCTCAGATTTTTAAAAAAATCTCACACACATTTTAATGATTTTATTAAGGTCCAAAGCATTGGCGAATGTGGAATGAATTTCAGGATCAAAATTATTTTATTTGATAGAATTACTTATTAATTTATGGCATCTGGGTAAAGGGAAGGGCATTTTCTTTGTTTCTTAAGAAATACGGTGAATAACCAAAATGAAAATGCATACATTGTGCAAAAATGAAAAATGATGTAAGAATTATATAAAATAAAATATTAAAAAAATATGGTGAAAGCTTTAAACAGAATGGGTTAGGACTTAATGATCTAAATATTAAAAGGCATGCCATTCGGATTTAAATCACTTTCAGTTACAGCGACAAAAGCCAGAGTGGAGTCTTGATTTTTAAGTTGTCTGCAAAATTGAAAGTGGAAAGAGAGGGTCCTCAGTAAAGGTTAGAAAATGAGGTCAGATAAATGTAAGAGTTCTGTTCCAAGTGCTTTGAACTAAAAGATGAAGGTATGAGAAACTTTAAAGATGATGCTAGCACAATGTCACGAGAAAAATAATGCATAAGCACTTCATTGTGAGGTCAGCTTAATTCTATGTTAACCATACCGCGTACTCTAGCACTTAGACAAGATGCATGATGTACTGAAGAAAGGAACAAAGGTAAATGAGAAAGTGTTGAGGAAAGAGAAATTAATTTATTTTCAAAAAGTGGGCAAGTGCTAACAACACCAGCCCTGTCCATAATATTAACATAAAAGTATAATTTGGGGGGCCTCCCTGGTAGCACAAGGGTTAAGTCTCAGCACTATCAAGCAGTCTGCAGCCACTGTGGCCTGAGTTCAATCCCCATCCAGGGAGCTGACACACATGGCGCAGCAGACCTCTCCTGTCTTGCCCACTGCTACCCTCAACAATAGATTTCTGTTGATCTGCTTGCTCTGCTCCCCACTCTGTCTCTGGTGAATCCTCTTGCCCCTCCCTCCTCCAACTCTGGCCTACACCCCAGTTCTTATGTGCATAAATAAATAAAGTTTTGTTTTTTTTTTTTTTTCCCATACAAGCACCAGGGCACAGTCAGAAGCACGGGAGGGTGAGAGAATTCACCAGAGCCAGAGAGGAGAGCAGAACAGGCAGACTGACGAAGTGCACTGCTGAGGGGAGCAGCAGGTGGCAGGAGAGGTCTGCGTGCCATGTGGGACCCTCACCGGTGGCCAGGGATCAAACCGGCACTGCAGAGGCTGCGGGCAGCCTCGGAACCCAGCGCTCAACCGCTGCGCCACCAGGGAGGCCCAAATAAAGCTTTTTTAAAAAAGTATCATTTTGGTCTTTTAAAAGTCCTGGTTGTTACTTCAATTCCTCCTGCCCATTATTTTGGCCTTAAAAATTATACTAAAAATTGACATTTGAAAATCACCCAGAAAATATGCTGGAAGTCATCAGAATAACTAAGGTGCCGTTTTTGATTCTAAGATAAATTTTTCCCAACAGCAAAATATCTCTAGCATTAGCTTGTCTGATCGTCAACGGTGTCTTCTCGCTGAGAGCAATTTTTTTCTTTTTCTGTTTTCTTTTTTGCATGCTTTTGGTTTCTGGCATTATAGAAGTTTCTGTTGGACAGCATTATATTTGGACACCTTCACATACCACACTATGGCCACCATCTAGAGTCTAATCTTCTCCACCACCCTTTGCCTGATTGCAGACACCCTTTTCTCATTTACCACCCAATAACAGCATTTTTTTCTTGATTGTACATAAAATAACAATGCATCTTAAAGTCAATGGGGTCTTAACTTTCTACCAAATACAAAGTTTTTGGTCAGGCAAAGTTAGGAGATAAAAAATAAAACTTCACATGCCTTTTTCAGAGTTGACAGTATTCACTCCATGATAGTTCCTTGGTTTTCTAGAATTGCACTGTCCATTATGGTAGCCACCAGTCCTATGTATTCATTAAATTTAAGTTGATTAAAATTAAATTAAAGTCATTCTTTAGTGGTCCCAACCAAATGTCAAATGCTCAATAGTCATGGCTACCAGCTACATATTGGATAACATGGATTCAGAAAACATCTTCATCACTGCAGAAAGTTCAATTAGTCAGTGCTGGTCTAGAATGCTGACTTTATATCATAAATTCTTTAAACTTCAGCAACAGTTCAGAAAGGTCACAGATATTTTGGTGTCTGTCTCAAGGGAAATATTTTGTCATAGTTAATTCAGATGAGAGCTTTGATGTCAACCAGCCCCAGATGTGAGTCTTGAGTGAGGCATTTACTTGCTACTGTGGTTCTTCTTGGGTCACTGCACTTCTCTAAGACTACAATTTTCACCTGTAACATAAGGAATCATAGTTGTAAGTACTTTACCAGATTATCTAAAGAGACAAAGTGTTAGCTACAGTGTACATAGTAAGTACTCAACAAATACTAGTTTTCACAATTTATCCTTTAGAAAGTTAGTGACTAATGTGCAGTCAAATTGCAGCATGATGGTGTGTGATAAGCATTACAAATTAAGTGATTGGGGACAAGGAGAAGGGAACCTTCTTCAACAGGGGATGGAAGGAAGATTTACCAGAGCAGATAACTTGAACCAACTCTCAAAAGATGATTAGATGCTCACTGTGCTGGATGACGTTGATAGCTTTTTGTTATGTAAAGACATGCATGATATTCTGGAATGCTGAGAGAGCACTTGCACTAGAAGAAAGGGATCTGAGCTGGGACAAGTGTGCAGAATAAAAATGTTAAGAACTGGGGCTAAGAAAGTTTGTTGGGGACAAATTGTGCAAGCCTGAGTGTGTGCTAAGGATTTCATCAAGATTTGAGGCAGGATAAATAACTGGATCAAGAAGATGTGGTCTATAAACACAATGGAGTACTATTCAGTCATCAGAAAAGATAAGCTCGTGCTGATCGCAGCAACATGGATGGAGCTAGAAGGTATGATGCTCAGTGAAATAAGGCAAAAGGAAAAAAGAAAAATATCAGATGGTTTCACTCATAGGAGGAATCTAAGGGAGCCAAATAAGGGATCAGGAAAATAAATAACAATAATAATAAATAAATAAACAAAATTAGCAGATAACTATAAATCAGAGACATTCTGCAAGGGAGGGGGAGGGGAAAGATCAAAACAGGGGAAGGAAGAGAACAAGGGACGATGGTGATGGCTCATGGGTGAATTAGTGGTGGGAATTCTACACCTGAGAGGAGAAGGCATTCCATTGTACAAAAATGAACAATGATTTAATATGTATATTTTAAAAAAAAAAAGGCTTGAGGCAGGGAACCTGCTGCCATCATCTGGGTGAAAGCTGAGTGAGACCCCGACAGAGGAAGTGGAGGGGACTTGCCTCCCATTTGTTTTGAACCCACTCTATCGCACCTCCAAAACTGCTCCTCGCGGGAACACTGAGTGTCCTTCATGTTGCTATGCGCGGTGAACAATATCAGTCTTCATCATATTTAACCTAACAGCATCATCTGATACAGTTGATCACTCTCTTTTCCTTGAAATCCATCTTCACTTGGCTTCCAGGAAAGCACAGTCTCCTGGTTTTCTGCCTACTTCATTGGCTGCTCCTTCTAAATATCCTCCACTGGTTCTCTCCATCTCCCTAACACTTACCATTGGGGGCTCAAGACTCAGTCCTTTTGGGCTTCATTCAGTCTCATGGTTTTGAAGGCAGACATTAGGAAATGGGTAGAGGGAGTCAGTTAGGAACAGGGTGCCCCAGCCCCAAGTCCATTTATCAGTCTGGTTGAAAAACACTTGGTTGGACCACCCTTTCTTCCCTCCCCCACATCCCATCCCCAAACCCTAGGTCCATTTGACAATATGATTGGAGAGTTCAGAACACCAACACAATAACACAATGCTTGAGTGATGAACCAAGGTTACTTTCAAGAAGTTAGCCCAGGTAACATGGGCAAACTCTGTGG